AAAAAAGACTTTAAAAATTAATAAAAGGTAATGAATTATTAATAATTAAAAAATTGGGGTTGTCTATTAAATTACTATAGAGAGAGAGCACGTCCGGACCCCCCAAAAAAGCATAAACGGGCTTGAAAAACCCCAAAAACAATTTTGGGGGCTTGGCTCCTCAATGGGGAAGGGTCCTGGACGGTTTTTTTTTTGTTTTTTTTTTTCTCGAAATGTGCCAGATATTGACCTTCCAGACCGGACGTCTGGATTCCGGACTGAATCCAGACCGTCCGGACGGCGGTCCGGACATCCGGATCGTAGCCATGATTCCTTTTTTCTTTTTTCTTTTTTTCTTTTTTCTTTTTTCTTTTTTTCTTTTTTCTTGTTTCCTTTTTTCTTGTTTCCTTTTTTCTTTTCTCCAGAAATTTGTAGTTCTTTTCTTTTTTTCTTTTATCTGTCCTACAATTAGTGTTGCTCCTGATCGCTTGATTCTATTGACCAGTTAGGAAGAGGAGCCCCCACCCCGGCAAAGTATGCTAAGTAAAACGATGTTGCTTTACAAAGATGCTAAATTTCAACAACGCTGGATCTATGAGATTAAATTATTGAATCCTAAATTTTTGGAACAGATTGACTTGATATTGCAATCAAAACAAAAACTCAGAGAATGATATAGTCCATTTTTTTTTACTTAAATTCAAAATGACCCTGGTAGTCCATGCCGTAACACATGTCACAAATTTGTGCTCCATTATTTGACAATCTGAGTGGTCTTATGAACCAAAGCACTGATGAGTCGGTGTACAGCGGAACCTTTGTGAGATTGTATTACAAAACGAGTTTGCGAAAGAAGTGTTTCCTGTGATTTCTTGGACGGAGCAACTCTGCTGACGAGCCTGTGGGATTCAGACGTGAAGCGTATGCTCTTCGAGCCTTTGCCACCCTAGCCCATCGAGTGCTCTACCTCTTGCAATGAAGATCACACGTTCTACCTAAATAGATTTTGCGGAAAACCAGCTATCTCCGAGTTTGATTGGCCTTTTCAATCATCTCTAGTTTTCACTAAAGGTTAGATGAAAGGAAAAAACCGTTGTTTAACTGCTGGTACACCACTTATTTGTTCATTGACTAAGCTC